TATAGTGCTTTTTCTAGGATAGGTTTGTTCGTGAATTTAATTGTCCGACCTCGTGTATTTTTTTTTTTTTTTTAGACAAAGTCTCATTTTGTTGCTTTTGGTAGAGTGCCATGGCGTCATAGGTCACAGCAACCTCAAACTCTCGGGTTTAAGTGATTCTCTTGCCTCAGCCTCCCAAGTAGCTGGGGCTACAGGCACCTGCCACAGCACCTGGCTATTTTTCGAGTCAAGGTCTCACTCTGACTCAGGCTGGTCTCGAACCTGTGAGTTCAGGCCATCCACCCACCTCAGCTTCCCAGAGTGCTGAGATTACAGGTATGTGCACCATGCCCCGCTGACCTTCATGACAGTTGGGCTTCTGCTTCCCTCACTAGTGTATGTGTTCCTTAAAGTCAGGGGCTGTATTTATCTTCAACTCTGTATCCTTAGCGCCTTGTACATAACAAGTGTTCAATAAACACATCTGTGTCCAAGTATGTACAGGCTATGGAGTAGACAGATTCCTTCGCCCACACTGCCCAAAGGGAAAGCCTTCTGAAGGGACTTCCAAGGCAGGATTGGGAGATCATCCTGGACTCCTGATATAGTCAAAGAACCTGGGAGAGGACATGGCCTTTGGAGATTACTACTCCAATCCCTTGTTATTACAGATGTAATTACAGATGTGGACGTCGAGAACCAAAGAGAAAAGGTGATTTACTCAAGGCCACATAACTAGTTACTGGCAGTGCTTTTTTTTCTCACTGATCAAAGAGATCACCCTTAAAGGCTCTGTCCTTCTGAAGACCTGTGTCAAGGAAAAACTCCCTTGTGGCAACAATATCTCTAGAAGTAATTTTGTTTTAATTAAATCATAGCTGTGTACCTTAATGCAGTCATGGGGCACAATGTGCTGGTTTTATATACAATTTGAAATATTTTCATCAAATTGGTTAACATAGTCTTCATGGCATTTTCTTAGCTATTGTGTTAAGACATTTATATTCTACATTTAGTAAGTTTCACATGTACCCTTGTAAGGTGCACTGTAGGTGTGGTCCTACTAATTACCCTTCCTCCACCCCTCCTCCCCCTCCCCTCCCCTCCCTTTCCCCATATTCTTTGGCTATAATTGGGTTATAGCTTTCATATGAAAGCTATAGGTTAGTTTCATAGTAGGGCTGAGTACATTGGATACTTTTTCTTCCATTCTTGAGATACTTTGCTAGGAAGAACATGTTCCAGTTCCATCCATGTAAACATGAAGGAGGTAAAGTCTCCATCTCTCTAGAAGTAATTTTGCAGGCATTAGGTGGGAAAGACAGTATAACATGATGGCCTCAGAGAATGGGTTCTGTAGTCAGCCTATACTTAAATTCCAGCTCTGCCATCTAGATGCTGTGTGACTTCAGGCAAATTACTTAATCTCTCTGGGCTTCAGGTACCTCGTCTTTAAAATAGGGATAATAATAATACATTTATCCCTTGATATCCACAATGGATTGGTTCCAGGAGTGCATGGGTACCAAAATCTGCAGATGTTCAAGTCCCTTGAAACATGGGTATAGTTTTTATGTATGACCGATGACCACCCTCTCATATTATACTTTAAATTGTCGCTAGATTGCTTACAATACCTAAGGCAATGTAAATTCTGCGTAAATCGTTGTTATGCTGTATTGTTTATTTGCATTGTTTTCTTTCCATAGTTTTCACCTGTGGTTTGTTGACTCCACAGGTGAAGAACCTGCATATACAGAAGGATCACTATTTTACAGAGCTGTTCTGAGAATTAATGGGATGAATATCCATAACGTGCCTAGGACATCCAAAGATTTATTATTATAAAACAGCTACCTCTTTCTGTGGCTCTTCTTCCACCTTCTACCTGTATTCCCTATGCTAATTTTGTCCTTACTTCTTTGTCCCCCATAATAAATAGCTTGAAAAGTCAGAATATGAACGAAGCTTGATCCCAAAGCTACCTGGTGGAAGCTCTCTCGCAATTTTGCAGAGGTGTCTGCTCAGAGACCAGGAGTCTCCTGAAAAGAACGTGTTCTCTTCCAGTGCTGCGCCCAAGCCTGCCCTCCCGCCCTTTCATCTCCCTCAGCCCCCGACCTGCCTCTTAGATAGACGTACACCTCAGGTTGTAAACATACTTCATGGAGATATTTGACTTTTAACTGACAGCTGATTCCATTACATTTGATAGTGGCTGGAGAACAATGCCCTGGGGGACACATTGAAAATAAAAATGAAGTCATAGGGTAATTCATCCTCAATTCTGTTGGTCCCAACAGTTCTTCTCATCAACTGGGGGTTGTAAAGATGTGCTTCCGAGAGCAACAGGGAAGTCCTTGGCTAGTCCCACCTTCTGGAAGAGTGGAGGCTTATTAAAATTGCAGATTCTTGTGCGTCAGCCCCAGGTATTTGATTCAGTAATTGCAGCTCAGGAATACGCATGTTAAAAGCAGCCTGCGATGTTGAGGCATCTGGTCCTGGTACCAACACTTAAGAAAAATACCACCGAAAATATTAAGAGCAGGAGTTCTGTTGGCAGAAAAAAAGCTCATTTAAATTCCAGCTCTGCCACATATGAGCTGCAGCCCGGGCTCCTGCCTCCTTTCTGTGTCATTGCTAACTCCCAAAGTTATTGCCTCTCCAACCGCATAGGCCCCTTGGAGAAGTCTATTCTCCATATGCTCAGCTGGGAATTTTCCTATTCTCTCCTGCTTCAAGGAAGGGGAAGAAAGCCCTTTACAGTGCGCTACCATCTGTGTTACCATCTTTACTTCCCTCCTGCACACAGGCACGTGTCCAATAGGCTGCCATCTTGTTTCCCAACCTCGATTGCCCCCCTCCATATGAATCCCCCATCACAAAATGTACCAAATCTCCTCCCTAAACGTGATGGCGGT